TAAAGTTGTACTACAAGAGAGCACAATCCAGCCAGGAGCCGAAACGAGGCATTTCCAGTACTAAAGTTGTACTACAAGAGAGCACAATCCAGCCAGGAGCCGAAACGAGGCTGTGAGAGGAGAGGATTTTAGTCGCGGGAGACTCTTCCTAAGTGCAGGACCCCTTTAGCGCGCACCTGATCCCACAAGAGCCCTCCAAGAGCGTCAGAGAGCCCTCCAAAAGCCTCCGAGTGCCCTCAGAAGCCTCCGAAAGCCCTCGGAGGAGAGGATTTTAGTCGCGGGAAACTCTTCCTAAGTGCAGGACCCCTTTAGCGCGCGCCTGATCCCACAAGAGCCCTCCAAGAGCCTCCGAGAGCCCTCCAAGAGCCTCCGAGAGCCCTCAGGAGCCTCCGAGAGCCCTCCAAGAGCCTCCGAAAGACTCTTCGTAAGTGCAGGACCCCTTTAGCGCGCGCCTGATCCCACAAGAGCCCTCCAAGAGCCCTCCAAGAGCCTCCGGAAGACTCTTCGTAAGTGCAGGACCTCTTTAGCGCGCGCCTGATCCCACAAGAGCCCTCCAAGAGCCCTCCAAGAGCCTCCGGAAGACTCTTCGTAAGTGCAGGACCCCTTTAGCGCGCGCCTGATCCCACAAGAGCCCTCCAAGAGCCCTCCAAGAGCCTCCGGAAGACTCTTCGTAAGTGCAGGACCCCTTTAGCGCGCGCCTGATCCCACAAGAGCCCTCCAAGAGCCATCCAAGAGCCTCCGGAAGACTCTGGACCCCTTTAGCGCGCGCATGATCCCACAAGAGCCCCCGGAAGACTCTTCGTAAGTGCAGGACCCCTTTAGCGCGCGCCTGATCCCACAAGAGCCCTCCAAGATCCCTCCAAGAGCCTCCGGAAGACTCTTCGTAAGTGCAGGACCCCTTTAGCGTGCGCCTGATCCCACAAGGGCCCTCCAAGAGCCCTCCAAGAGCCTCCGGAAGACTCTTCGTAAGAGCAGGACCCCTTTAGCGCGCGCCTGATCCAACAAGAGCCCTCCAAGAGCCTCCGGAAGACTCTTCGTAAGAGCAGGACCCCTTTAGCGCGCGCATGATCCAACAAGAGCCCTCCAAGAGCCTCCGGAAGACTCTTCGTAAGAGCAGGACCCCTTTAGCGCGCGCATGATCCAACAAGAGCCCTCCAAGAGCCCTCCAAGAGCCTCCGGAAGACACTTCGTAAGAGCAGGACCCCTTTAGCGCGCGCCTGATCCCACAAGAGCCCTCCAAGAGCCTCCGGAAGACTCTTCGTAAGTGCAGGACCCCTTTAGCGTGCGCCTGATCCCACAAGAGCCTTCCAAGAGCCCTCCAAGAGCCTCCGGAAGACTCTTTGTGGTGTGGTGTGGTGTGGTGTGGTGTGGTGTGGTGTGGTGTTGTCTTTTGGGGGGGGGGGAGAAGGAGAAGGCCCGGGATGGGGCGGTGCAGGCCAAAAACAAAAACCCCACAGTGATGTGGGGAATAATAAAAGCTAATGTGGTCCGATGGTATACAGTGTTGGTATGTTGCAACAGTAAAGTTCATAGAACATACCACAGTATATGTGTTGTAGTTCGGTGTAGTACAAAGGCATACAGCTGTAGCGCAACGTAGCAGAATGTAATGAAAATTGATACCGTCGTATCACGTATATGGCGTGGCATAAAGCAACATGTCACAACAGCCCGGCAGATCAGAGTACAACTCAACACAACGCAGGACAGCAATAGCATAGCATACCACAGCTCCATACATGCGTACGCACATGCAAAAATGTAGACAGACCTACATCAGTTGAATCCAGCTTCCATCCATCCATCCATCCGTCCATCCATCCGCCCATCCATGCATCCATGCATCCGTGCATCCGTGCATCCATGCACATCATTTGTTCATATAGCATACATGCACAGTTGCACGCGGACATACACAGATGCATATGGACATCACCACCTACCTACCTGCCTACTTGCGTACGTACCCACAGACATACGCAAACATATTATGTTCATACATCTACCTATTCAGTCCCTTCGCGATGTTGAGAGAGTGCGAGTTCATCTAGCACGGTTGTAGGTATCTGCATGAATGCGCGCAGACTTTATTTCAAAGCTCGACTCGCGAGCCTCCTGGCAGGTGAACTCGATCGATCCAATGCGTCTGAGGGCCGAGTGGAGAGATGTCTACCCGAAGCCAGATCTGCTGGGAGGTCTGGCTGCTAGAGAAGCCTAAGACATCATGATCGCGAGCCGCTGTGACAGGGGATAGTTTCCGTAACTGCCAGATCTTTCGACCTGGTCCCAACCACGCAAACGGGGAGTGCGAAGCAGCAGTGCCAAAATGCACAGGCTACCTCGGTGATGGATACCCGCTCTGCATGGACCAGCCCGCGCAGGGTTTCCTGCGCATCCTGTCATAGTTTGTCTGTAGATCTGTTCACAGAGGTCTCCATATCTTTCCACTTGGGGAGTGCAGCGCTTTGCAATCGTTTTCAAAAGATTTGAAGAGGTCTTCGTGTCTGGATTCGACAGGGCAACATACCGAAGAACTCTTTTATTTCACCCTCCTCAAGATTCGGGGAACGTTGCTGAGGCCAGGGAGCCAAATACCACTTCGTGGGGCACGCGCACGATGGCAACGAGGCCACAGGACACATCAGCTTTCGTGGCTTCTGGTTCAGGTCGACCCTCACGTCGTCCCAGCGCCCCAAGAGGCCGATGCCATCGAAGGTATGAAGGATCGCAGCCCTTCAACGCTGAAACACAACTCATTACCCAAAGCCCTACGGCACCACCCCATTTAAGTTGGGATCTTTGCGCCCGGATCCGAAGTGGCCCCCGGCAGGTCCTCGTGCTGACCGCGCTTGGGTTGCAGATGAAATCCGCCGGTGTCTTCAGGGAATGCATAAAGCTTTTTTGGGAGAAGGATGATTTAGGATTCAGCGTTCAGGGTACTCAGGGCTTCGTGTCTGGCAAGTATCGAGCGTAGAAGTGCTTCAGTGGAATCCTGCGCGTTCGTCTCATGTAGAAGCCCAGACACAGCGACAGCCAAGGCGGATTCGGCGCTTTACAAAGCACTCTGTGGTGCTGGGCAGGCGGACGGAGCATACTCCAACTGTTTCCATCCAATTCCTTATACAGCCTGGATCACCGCCCGAAAGCAGTCAAGCAAGCTTCTCTTTACCTTCCAGTGCATCTTACCTGATGGGAGAGGGTTCGTCGCATGCCCGGGTTGGAGCCCGAGCTCTAGAGCGTCTGGACATGTCCGGACTTTGTTGGACGAGGTCTGCAGTCACCAGCTCATGGTGGAGTTGTCGGAGACGTTGCAGCTCGTCTGAGAAGAGCTTCGGCCTCTGGAAGCCGTCGCATGGTCAAAGCATCTGCCGTCCCTACGCATGCTTCCGCTTTCCTGGCGACACTCTGTGCCGCAGGACCTGTACCGGTGCAGAGTGCCAGTCCACTACGGCTCGGGTTGTGCAGGTGGGAGATGGCTGCTTGGCACAGTCCGACCAGCAGCTCTGAATTTTTCCAACTTAGACAACCTATCCTAGCGGTTTGGAATAAACGTAAGACCTTGGGATCGCAAGTGATTGGATCCCTTTGTGTGGTTGGAGGAAGAGTGCCAGATCACCAGTGTGCCAAAAAAGACGACATAGGTCATCAGTGCAGTATCCCAAGACTGTCTCTAAGTTCCATCCCTTGCGGTGAAGCCTCAGCTTCGAACATTTCCTAAGATCTGCATGTCGGAACAGAGCTTGGTGCTTCACTACTTCCCTGCCCGAGGCTATTATGAGCACCTCTATGAAGCCTGTGTGGGGCTGTTCTTCTCCGAGGGTGAGGAGGCATTTGACAGGGCACGTGCACTGGTCACTAGTATATTGATTTAGGCCGAGTGTTTGCAGGATATGTGGTGGTAGCAAGAGGCAGCAGGTGGCTGACCTGAGATTCATGCGGAGCCGGAGCCCTCGATGATTTGCACATCAATTCGGGGGCAAAGCAAATCCTGGGAGCTGTCAAACGTAACGCTTCAGCCAGTTTAACGCCGAATGCCCGAAAGAGTTTGGGGTTGCCAACTAATTAGCCAGGTACTTCTCTACCCCGATGGCACCATCGCCTCCAACCTCACCACCAAGTCCAGGCAGAATCGTCCCTCAGGTGTAACAGGGAAGTTCCAAAAGGCTCAGACTGGGCAGCGTTGTGGAAGTCTGGGGCTCCCATGGGAATCTGTGTAGTTTTGCCTCTTGCGGCCCTCCTGCGACAGATTCTATTCTATTGTGTCTTTCGCCAGGATCCTGGAGCCTCGCAGATTTGTCGGCTTTAGATTTTCAAGCTTCGGCTGGATGGACCATGCTGCCCCTGCCCTGAGCCCTAAATCCCCCAAGCTCCCAAGGTTTCGTCGCACGCTGGGTGCCAACCATCCCGGACCTCTCCAGCTGCCCTGCAGGTTGCACTGCTGGCTCTGAGGCACTGGTTTGGGGGTGATGTGGTTTGAGAGAAAGGCGTGGAGCGTTTGCGCCAGTTTGCACGGGGGCTGACCTCTGGGTCTGCACATTCGGGACTGCATTGCAAGGTTACCTCAACAAGTTCGTCTGCCGAGGTTCCCCTGGCCCATCTATCGGCATCGTGTTACGTGTTATATTTCAGATTTGTTAGTGCTTGCAGGCAATTCGGATGTACGCACGCACGCACGCACGCACGCACGCACGCACGCACGCTCGCATGCACACGCACGCACGCACGCACGCACGCACGCACGCTCGCATGCACACGCACGCACGCACGCACGCACGCACGCACGCACGCTCGCATGCACACGCACACACGCACACACGCACACACGCACACACGCACACACGCACACACGCACACAAGCACACACGCACACACGCACACACGCACACACGCACACATGCACACACACACAGACAGACAAAGACAGACACACACACAAACAGACAGACACACACACACACACAGACACACACACACACACAGACAGACACACACAGACAGACACACAGACAGACACACACAGACAGACACACACACACACAGAGACACACACAGACACACACAGACACACACACACACACAGACACACACACACACACACACACACACACACACACACACACACACACACAGACACACACACACAGCACAGACACACACAGACACACACAGACACACACAGACACACACAGACACACACAGACACACACACAGACACACACAGACACACACACACACACACAGACACACACACACACACAGACACACACACACACACACACACACACACACACACACACACACACACACACACACACACACACACACACACACACACACACACACACACACACACACACACACAGACACACACACACACACACACACACACACACACACACACACACACACACACACACACACACACACACACACACACACACACACACACACACACACACACACACACACACACACACACCCACACCCACACACACACATATACACACATACCTTACATTGCATTACTGTACAGTACGTTACATTACAGTACATCACATTAAACCACATTCTGTTATATTACAGTATACTAGACTATACTACATTAGATTACGTTTTATTGTATCATATTATGTTCTATATTTTGTTATATCAAGTCAGTATCATTATATATTACATTTTCTTAATTTTACTGTATGTTATATTATATTATGTTATACTGTATTATAGTATATCATGTCATACATATCTATATCTATATCTATATCTATATCTATATCTTTATCTATATCTATATCTGTATCTATACCTATACCTATATCTATATCTATATCTATATCTATATCTATGTATATATATACATAAGAACATGGAGTTCATTATACCGTATTTATACACATGTATATGTAGATATTATGAAAGTGTTTCATGTTATATTATATCACATGATACTTCATCACACTGTATGATGTTGTTATAATTTTTGTATTAGATTAGTGTATATTATATAATACTATATGTCACATTATATATTTCATTATATCAGGTTATACTTTACTATATTATGTGATGGGATATTATGTTATGTTATCGTACATTATGGGTATTGGTTTGCCGTACATACATATGTGCACATGCATGTACTCCAGTTTTGGAGGTCTGTGCCTGTGCGGCGAGCTTGGCTGTGCAGGACGGCATGCACGTAGTGACAGCAGGCCCCAGGGTCGGCAGCAACATGGACCTTCCAAAGTAGTTTGCTTGAGTTCGATACCCGATTTAAGAATCCGGGCGGTCCAGGCTGAGAGGCTGGGGTTGTGGGATAAGGGCACAAAGCCTACTAGCTCTTGAGAGTATCAGGTCTCACGAAGCCATGCTAAGGCCCCAAGCCTCCTTCCTCGACATCCTGCAGAGCCCAAGAACTTCAACAGTAGCCTTGCAACATGTTCAAGGACATAGGTATGGTTCCTGTGCTTTGGGTGAAGGAACATCGCATACCGCATACATGAAGTCCGTGCTCTGCAGGTGGCTTCACCTTCCAGAATCCGCCTGTGTTCATGGACCGCGAGCACCCGCGGAAGAGAGACGCAGCTTTCGAGGTGGAAGCACTCCTACATCACCTTGTTCACTACCCGCGCCCCGGTGGCAAGGCCCTGGTAAGAACGACAGCTTCGCCGGACCAGTAACTGTCGCTACTTGTGCGGTGTTGATGTGGTGCCGGGGGCAAGCTAGAGGAGGGAAGGGAGTGGACGCGAAGGATCGGACAGGACAGGCTGGAAGGAAGGAGGAAAGGAAGGGAAGAAACTGGCATGCTACACTCAGCTACAGTTGTCACTACAGTATCCTTGCGCGGCGAATCATGGTCGAAGCAAGTGTGACCAGCCGGTTGCAAGCCCAGAGGGGGCGCCTCATCAAGCGCCATCCCTCGATCACTGGGTGCTGTGACTCTAAGTTCTTTTGTTGCTTCTCTCTTTTGAAGATGTGTGCGCAGTAGAGGCGTGCGGTCTGCCCTCGGTAGAGGCCAGCCTGGCTCATTGCCTTGGCATTGCGGCTTGCGTTTTCCTCGCAGTTCCGAGGAATGTGCCCATCTTCGTGTCGTATCGCATCATCCAGCGCTTCGTCACCTCGAATCCGACTCCCGAGTACGTGCTTGCCGTTAGCAATGCCTTCCAGACTGGCGAGTACAACGGGTATACGTGCTCTCTGCCAGATGCTTTGGGCCAGAACTCGGAAGTTTACGAGCTAGATCGCGGAGATCAGTCTGCAATGCAATGGGTTTCAAAACTCTGGTGCAGCACGGACCGTAGCTGAAGAGCAGGGCCCGACGAAGTCAATCTTCCACTGAGTGCCCCTAGTGACTCAGTGTCGGCATCCCGAATCCAAATCACGGGCAAGCAGTGTGAGTGAATCCCATCCTCAAGCTAGAATAAAGTTACTACCCCGCCCCTGATTCTTGTCACGCCTTTTGCATGAAGGCAAACCTCGGTAGCAGTCTAGCGTCTCCAGTGTCGTACAGCCTCGGGACAGGTACTCCGGGAAATATGGCGATCTCGCAGCCACGATTGCAGCTGTATTGCTATTCAGCGAGGCGCATCTTTGCCTTCAGATGCCTGCTTGAAAGTCTTGCGAGGTTTTGCTTCAAGCTGAGCCTCACCACCCTGTGTTGTGCCACCACCTAGAACGAATTGCTTGCTGCTTGGCAGGCTCGGTCCCAGACCAGTACCAGCAGCTTGGACATGCCGACCCAAAAGGAAAGTCGACAAAGAACAAGGGTCTGCATGGCTTTCCCGGAGTCAGGGTGTTAGGGCCAGGCAGGGCTCAAGGCCCAGTTCACATAGTGACAGAAACTTTGCAGGTTTATACATTCTGTGCAGCCACCGAGGCAATGGTGCACTCCGTGAGCCCTACCTTAAGGCTGCGGACAGTTTCAGCCCTTTGCGGAGTTACGCAGAACTTTGCAGCTGATCGCAGTGGAGCAGAAGTGCATAGACCATGCTTACACAAGGCGTAGGGGGTTAAACATTGTCACATTGCCTTGGTTTTCGTGTCGTGGAGAGTGGAGAGACCGTCAACGTCCGATACCTTTGCAAACCGCCAGATTATCCACTTCATGCGATCCATGGAATACCAGGACCCAGGGATCTAGCTGGAATGCCAATGCACTCTGAATGGGGTCTGAGAGACAGGGATTTCTGAATAATCTCGAAGTTGCTCGAGGTTGCAAGGCAGGCAGAAGGTGGTAGGCCTCGGTACTTGAATAGCTTCTTGGGCACCTTTTTCTTGTCCCTGACTTGGTCTTTGTGCGAAGTCCGTCCTTTAACAGGGCACAGCTGCCGCTGCCAGTGAGCAAAGCAGTCAAGCTGGCAGGAAGAGAAGGACAGGCCCATCGTACTCGGCAACTTGATCAACACGTCGCGGGGGCAGCAATTGGCTCGCCAGACTTCTTGATGCAATCCTTACAGCTGAGCTCATACTAGAATCTGGAGTTTGGAGTTTTCAGCACATGAAGACCGTAAAGCCCCGAAGGCCCGGGCCCTAAGCCATCTAGAACATGCACGGCGAATTAAGACAGCACCTGGACTGCTAGGATTGGCCAGTACCCATATGCCTCCCCAACGGTCTTCAACTTCTACATGCCGGACCCGAGGGAGAAGGTTTAAGATCTGTGGATCACGGGCGGGGGAGTGGGCTAAGTTGTTGAGAATGTTCTGGAGTCGGGCTTTGACATGCAACATCTGAAACTGTTTCCGAACCCAAGTGCTGAACCGGAGGCGCACGCAACACCCAGTGAGTGCACGACCGCGAATCAGCGAACATGATTCCCAACAGCTTGGCCAAGTCCTGCCAGGAGTTCCGGCCTGATGGCTTTCCCGAAGGCTTGGTTGCCCCGGAATTCCAGATCTACACGGCCCCGAGCCTTCCCAGCATTCACGTCTTGGGAGATGTCTCGGCTCATGACGTGCCGTTCGCAGTTTCCTTCGAGGTAGTGTGGATCTTTGTCGTTCGAACTTAGCCTAGCTGTTGCAATACTGCCTCAGGAATGCATTGGCCTTTGCGAACGGCATGCACTCATTGATCAACCAGGGTCTCAGCAACTGCGCTTCTTGGCATGCTCATCTTATTGGCTCGCCACTGGTGCTAGGACGTATCTTGTTTTGCACGGAGCAATTGAAACCTTCCAAAAAGGATGATGGCTTTGGCGTCTATGTCGGGGACTGTTCTGCCGGCACTACGACTTTCGCAGAGAAGTCGGACCCCTTGACATGCTGGTGCGCTTAGCTCACGTGCCCTATTTATCTGTGTATGCGTGTGCATTGTGGGTACAGGTGTAAGTTCCGAGCTATCCGTCAATCAACTGCACGCATCTAAGCTGCTTTTGGCATCCCAAGCTTGCGCCAAAGAAAGTACCGGCGCGCCCCAAAACCCAAGGCCGAGACCCCCAAACCCCAGCCCCCCCCGACCCCCCTCTCACATCCCCAACCTCTGAACACGCGAATCCCCAAGCCGTGATTCCCTCCCTCAAGTCTAAACCCCAAACCACTACCTGGTGACACAAGGATCTTGACAGCTTGACCTGGACCTCCATGCCTGTCTAGAAAGTTAAAAGTTAAAGGCACGTAACTTATAACTCCGGAGCCAGCTCGTGATGAGTTTAGGAACGCGAGGAGGAAGAGGCTTGGGCTCCCGCTTCCAGGAAACAAAGCACGATGCGCTCGCCTCCGCGCCGTACTCCCTGAGCCGCAGGACATGAGCGAAGCCTTGGCCGAGCTGGATCTTCTGCTCACCGGCGGCCGCCTCGAGGTTTCAAGCTTGCAATGAAGCAGCGGGGATCCGGATCCGAAGGGATGCGATGGCCAGCTATCAGTACAGCCATGAAGCCGAGTTCGGCCTACTAATAATCGTCATTGTCATACTCTCATGTTTAGGAGACTAGTCGTTCTGATAATAACCACGAGAACAGATGATGATGGTTACGAGCAGGCACAGACCCAGCTCCAACATTCCTTGTCCCTTCACTGCGCACCGCCAGGCATCTAACATCCCCCAACATCGCTCAGATTCTTTAAAGGCTTTGCTGTTGGTTGCGCAACCGGCCAGAGTGCCTGGTACTTAGTCCCTTGACTGCAATAGGGCTCGGCAGAGAATGTCTTCCGGCCCTCCGAGAACTCAGAACTTGCCGTAGTTTCATTACTCCGAAACGCCTGTCAAACCGGAGGCGAACAAGGGCAACGTGCAGGCTGCCTTCAAGCGTGATGGTTGGAAGGCCCCATGGGCACTTGAGGTTGCACATGTTCGTCCACCCACCGTTCATATGCCTGCGAAGCCCCTCCCAGCCCTAAAGCCCAAAGCGTACCTCGAGGATGCGCAGAAGGTCATGATCCTAACGCCGGAATTCAACACATTGGGCCACCTGTCATTTGAGAGCATACGCGCCTTCCACTTGAGCTCAAGCAGTTGGGGTTTGCGGTGTAGGTTTTGCAGTATGCATCTGTTCGTGCTGCAAAGTCTAATGCATCAGGGTAGAGTGTTTGCATTAAGCGCGATCGGTTGGATTTGCGTCCCTGGTGAGACTAGGTAAGACTAATTTAAGCTTCCGTTTCACCCTTCACAGAAGTAGAGCATGGGATTCACAGCTCAGCGCCCCAATAATTGGGGCACTGTGTGGGTATGGTTCTCCCCTCGGACCCATCGTCCTGCCGGTTCGGAATGCGCGGTGATTTTCGAGGTTTTCAGCTTGCACAGGCACGAATTCGAGGGGGCCTCCGGCGGCATTCTCGGTTCCAGGCCTTTGGCCGTTCCGTCATGTGGGGTGTGCAGCCATGCCTCGCTTGCGTTGCTCGCACTTCGGTCGGAACCGACGTCCTTGCGACGGCCAGCCGCATCCATGCCCGCACGATGATAACGTCCATTCTACCAGCACATCCAGCGTCGCTGCATCCATACCCGCTCGATGACAACGTGCATGCTATCCAGTGTCGCCACATCCATGCCCCCGGAGGATGATAACGTCCGGCTGCAGGAGGAGGCTTACGTGGAGGGTACTTGAGGTAACCTCCAAGACGCCTGGGCCTGTGGCTTCGGCGGATAAAAATGAGGACCTGGGAAATGACTGCTTTCCATACTTCCTCAACAGCGAAACCCTGGTAAATACCGATACAAACCTTGCTTCCAACATCTTCTACGACGCGAAACTGGAAGGCTCCTTGGTTACCTCCGTCCAACAGAGCACCGCTTCGCGGCGTGATGTTGGCAGCATGACAAAGCCCTTGAAACATCTGCAGAGTTTCACCAAATCTGGGACCGTTCTGAGGCAGTCCCTTGCCAGAGGGTGTGCGACCTCCCTCTCCGCCTCCAACCTTCGGTGCCACCTCCAGTTACAAGGCAACGAGAGCGGATGAAGAGTCTGAGACTTCGAGATTGCATGCGGATTTTGCATTGGGCTGTCGGACTTGCAGTTTAAGGGCGCAGACATTTGGAGCTTTCAACTGGGGTTCAGGAGCTTTTCGTTGGCTCGGGTTCAGTGGTTGCTTGGAGTCTGACTGTGGGAAAGGGGGTCTTAATGACCTATGAGAGGCCTGATACTTTTCTCCCTTCGGCCAGTTCTGCTTCTGCTTGCGTCGTCTGGGGGCTTCTTGAAATTTTGGATTTCCGATTGTGGGCTTCCGGCCATCCAGGTTGAGGGCTCAGGATTGAGAGTCGCCGCATTGAGTGTTCAGTGTCCGCGAGTGCAGATTTGATTCAGCAGCGCAGTCCTGCTGCGGTGTCTGAGTCAGTAGCGAAAGGGATGCCCAGTCTCTGAATCTGCCGCGCGATCAACCTGCACCCCGAATTCTCGAGGGCTTAACATAGCCCCGACCAAATCTTGACTGAGACTCACCCTCCCTTGCCAGGCTGTGGTTATGCTTATGCTGAAGGGTGGCATGGACAGCTTCCAAATGCTGGTGGCACGCTCGGAAGACTTGACCTCTTCCTTTTAACGGGACATGCCCTAATGAGCAGGTCTCTCAGAGATGATCTGTTTCGAGAGAACCAGCTTCTAATCAGAACTCGTCGGTTTACAATAGTTTGCAGTTTGCATGATGCCAAGAGACGTGTCTATCGCTTTGGTTTCGTCTTAAAAAGTGGGTAAGGGCCTGAACCCATGTACTGCCTTACGGTTCAACTCTGGACGACAGCATCGAAGCCACTCTGTCGTTTGCGGCTCATGCACGAGGAAGCGCTCCGACTTGCTGCTCCTGCTCGGAATCCCCAAATCTAAGCTCCACATGTCTTCGGCTCCGAAGCCCTCTGAGCCCTGCTGCCTCGGCTGAACCCGTGATCCGAGTTTCAGGTGCCGTTGAACTGCCCCCTCTACGACGAGTACCGCGGCGTTCGCAAGAGCATCGCTTTCTTACCGGAGGAGAGCAGTGTGAAGTTAGTCTTCAGGAACGTCAGCAATGCATGGGTTCGTTCTGTATGCTTCTGCTGCTATGATCCCTAGGAGTCGTTGTATCACCAGAAGTTCATAAGCAACTAGATGAGACGGGTGTCGGAGAGGTAAGCCAAACAGCCTCAAACAGCAGGACATGCAGGCAATGCGAACAAGAGATCAATTAGGACAGCAGGGATGATGACCACCCGGAGATGACAGCAACCATAGTGCCTGGAAATCACGACAGCTGCTGCCCACAACAAGCCAGGAGATGCACCAGATCAGCTCTGCAGCGCAATCATGCTCAGAGTTTGGCATCCACCCGAAGCTTCCCGTCCTCAAGGACATTCTGACAGAGCTTTCAGGGCTTTTGGGCAGAAGTGGGTCCCGTGGCAGGAGCTCTATGACGAAGGAAGCGTGGCCTTCATTACCGACGTGGGGTCGCTCGTGGAGCCGCTGACTCCGGACATGATCGGGAAAGGCCAAACACCCGACCTGAGCAAAGCGTCGAGAGCGAGTCCAGCGCTAAACTCCAAACATCTCCAAACCTCGGACAGGCTTCCATGCGAAAGGCGGCAGTGGTGAGACTTGCCAGGGCCTTTTCAGCCACAATGTCTCTTGACAGCACTCTGAGATCACGGGTTGCGGGATCCTTCGGCATGCAATTGCTCTGAAGTGGCTTCGGTGCGCAACGAGGGTACATCCAAATCCGAGTCGCCGGCGGTCTGCGATTGCAGCCCAACCACAAATTTTACACATTTTACACAACTTATTCACTCGCTCCCCTAAGCTTGCACAAGACACATCTCAGGATCAGCAAAGAGCTGCAGAGACACTGACATGCCAGTTGCCCGGCCCAGTTAGGGCTGTGCAGCTTGAAGTTTCCAAGTGACAGTGCTTGAGCTGTCTGCAAATTTCAGCGTTCAGCCACATGCTGGGGGGTTCATGTGCAGCCGAAGCCAGGCAGCCCGCAGCCCTGAGCCCTCGAAGTAATCTTCCACACAGGTACGCCACGGCCGAGTTCAAGGGTGCTGGTGGGCGCATCGCCGACGCCGTGGCTGCTGGCTCGGAGAAGTTCAACACCATGTCATTCTCGCTGCTCTTTGGCCTGTAAAGCTCGGCCTAACATACTCTCGGGGTCGGAGCAAAGCGGCCACCGTTGCGATGAAGGAAAATACTAGTTACTAGTACCAGGGGTGGCATGATGTAGGTTTGTAGAAAGGATGAGAGCCGGCGGACGGGAACGGGTCATGCCGATGCGGCTTTCGAGTGCTCATGTTGGGAGCGATGCCATGGGGCCACGGACAGATTTTAGAGCTCTGGATCTGCTGTCACCACAGCGAAGTCAACAACTTTGTCGTCCATGAAATTCGATAGGCTCTCAACTCAAATGCTCCGTTCCGCCAGCAGCCCAACGTCCGCCGAGGAAGGGTTCTGCAACGTGGCCTCAGGGTTTTGACATCCCAGGTGCTGCGGAGGGAATGTCTTGATCTTTGTTGTCCAGACTTTTTGAAACGGTGTAGTGAAGGGTCAAAGTGTAAAGCTGTAAGCTATCACGCGCTGCCACTCAGCGCATGCTGGGACTTTGGTTTTGGATCTGGCACTAATCGCTCTCTTCGAACACCATGAACACCGGGGGCCGAAGAAACGGTTCAAAGCCAGGCTGGAACAAACTCACATGCTTCTTCCTGTTCTTGCCTTGTGCGGCGGCCCCGACGTCCTGCAGGTGAGGTCCTGGGCCAAAATTCTGGCGGTGGTAACTCCGCCTTCCCAGAGTACACGCGTCTGCAGGCCTGACGCAGAAGACCTATCATTGCCTCCAGGTTGGAGGATGCTATTCATGCATAGAGGTCGTCTTGTTTCGATTGCTGTCTTTGCATCTAGGAAGGCTTGTGTGACAAAGTTCGGTATGGCTGAAGACTTCCGCACGCATGCGCAAGGGCTCCATACGTCACCAGCCTTCTTTCAAGGTTCCAGCCAAGCCATGACGACGACAATGCCAGACACGTTTTTAAGTCACAAGCCTTCGTTCGTTCTATACGCTGGACTGACCCTGAGCCCTAAGCGCAGCCGGTCGCAAGGACATCGTCAACAACATCACTGGCACTCGCCATGGCAATGTCTACTGTGACTGTGCCTGCAAAGGTGTCGGAACTGTGTGTCAACCTTGCTGGTGTCATGCCGAAGTCCTCCACCCTTCATCTTGATCCGAGCCTCAAGCCGATGCACGTTGAACCTGAAGATCCAGCGGCATCCCAACCCACATCTCCATCAACCCGCAACCTTCTGATCATAGACTCTGCAGTGGCAAATCCGCAAAGGTCAAAAGTCCCACAAAAAAAAGATCCGTCAAAGAAGAAAGGGGGGAGAAGCGTTGGTGTGTATTCAAGCGGAGCCCGAGGCGAGGAGTATGCGAAGCGCCTGGAGCAGGCCATCAGCTTCAACATCGGCTTGGAGCCCGGGCTTCGAGTTTGTGGGAGTTGGAGCTTTTCTAAAGGCGTCGAGCATGGTGACCGGGTACCTTGATTTCGAAATGCCTGACTTGGCTGTGCCAGCGCATGTCAGCGCAGGATTTCTGTCATTGTCCTTTCGACATAGTCACTGCAGGAGAAGCAACTCGAAAATGCGGAGTTGGCGACCGACTACGAAGTCAAGGCCCGTCAGCCTTCTGAGTCTATCAAAAGGGTTCCCACGCCAAATCGAAGCCCATGCTAGTAGAAGCCCTTCTCCGAATGCATCAGCCGCACAGGGCTACCAGCCCCTGAGGAGCCAGTTCAAGCGACATGGCCGCAGATAGAGTGCTGATTGGCCGTGAATTGCCAAAGCAGCAGAGTTTGTGACACAGGAGTAAGCTGTCACTTCCCAGTTCAGGTCCCGGTAGGCAACGTCAGTTGGCCTTAGGAATGGGAGCTTGGAGACGAACCTTGCCCCTCATACTCATTGCTAGTTTGTCCAAGATTCAGGAGTATAAGTGAAATACCCTTGCTCATCTCGAGACATGAGCCGAACACCTTGATAGGTTGGATCCGGCAGGATTTTCGCTCTCGATCAGATAGCGAGCTCAGTCCTACACATCAGACTGATGTCTCGGCCTTACCTCCACCCGCTGGGGGGCCTCCTTTCTCAAGCCTGAAACCTCGAGCTCCGATCAGTCTTCAGCCGTTCTGTCCTCAGTGTCCTCAGCCCAGCCAAGTTCAACCAGGAATGCGGCCACGCTCATTGCGGCGCGTGTCGAGCGCCAGGCAGAGCGCGACTTCTTCTTCATCGAGGCACGGGTTGGAAGGTCTGCGGAGTCTAGGGCTGTAAAGTTTAGGATTTGGGACTTCGGGGATGCATTGTAGAGTGTCGTTCAAAGCTCCAGCTGTGGAGGGGAGCGCGGGATTTCGTGCAAGATTGCAGGAGCTCTTCAGCTGCATTTTGGGGGTGTTTGGTGGAAGTAGATCCAGTACTACACTACAGCAGGTCGGATCAGGGCACAAGCAAATCTAGAAAGATGCTACATGCCTGCAGCACAACCCGAATCATGTCAAGAAGATGACTGCTTGCCCACCTGCCTCGCCTGTTATCTACCGTCACACAGGCATCGGGATGCATCGGGCGTATATACAGCACGCCTACGACTTTCGGCTGCGAAGTTGTCGCCCAGTCTGCGAGAGGACGGCGGCTGGGACCATCACAAGGGTGTCGAGAACGCCTTGGCCGGGAAGTTCGAGAGTCTCAGCGAGGCCATTGCTACGACTCGAGATCGCTGCGTTGCGCGAAGTACGCTTGGAAGTGCCTCCACCTCTAGCGCTTGTGCAAACCATCAGCGCTGAACCCGCCTGCCTTTTTTCGCTACCCCAAATGCACATCCCCCTACAAAGCAGTAGCATTGCTTCCTCCCGATGGCTCTTGCTCGGCCTTTCCTTGGCTTTGGATTGGGATCAAGAACTTGTTCATATTTTTTGCATAATCACTGGTGCCTTTATCCAAACCCACATTGTGTGGTTGAGTTTGAGGGGCCCGATCAGAAGGCGCTGGCGGAGTTCGTGGCTGAGCTGAAGGCACAGAACGTCTACGACAGCGTGGTGATCGCGACGCAGCGTGGCTGGGGTGTGGGGTCGCATCTTTTATGTGCTGTAATGCATATACAGGCTTTAGGCTTGGCTTGACTGGAGGAGCTTGGAGCCCTTCCCGGCCCCAGCGTAGTTCGAATCAAGCTCAAAGCCCAGCATTTCAGAGCCCCCTCGAATCTCGAATCCCCAAACCTCGAGGCACTCAGACTTTGCGCGGACCCTCACGCCCAACAGCAATGCTGGCACGGACCATGGATGGGCCGGCATCCAGCTGCTTTGGCAAGGTTTGTGGCTCCGTTTCTGGAGGTCCTGGGCCTAGGCCAGGCCATCTCCAGAAAGTAGATAGGGCACGGGGCACGGGGAAGTGAGCCTACGGGAAGAAATGCGCATCACAACTTGATGCAAATGCGGTGATCCAAATGAATGGTTTTGTAGGGGTCAAGCCGAAGCTGGGTTTCAGCGGTTTGGTGCACCATCATCACTGGCGAACCCCTCTTTTGTTACTTCGTTGCGAGGGACTTGTACATGCTTGTTCCGACAGCCCGACATCATCATCATCATCACCATCATCATCATCATCATCATCGCCGTCAGGTTCAATTCAGAAAGCCGTGAACCTCAACCCATCACCGAGAGCCCAACACACACCTAAGCCCAAGTCCTATCCTCGCTGTACCTGAGGGTGGTGTTGTCTGGTGCCATCAAGGGCGGCGAGATCTACAACGCCTTTCCGCACTTGGCCGAGGTGGGCGCGTGCCGGAGGGGGGGGGGTCTATGTGCGGAGGCATTTGCGGGAATTGAAGTCCAGTGCTTGATTCAGCTAAGATGGCTGATATCGTTTGGAAAGAGTCTGCTGCCACCTCGGCATGACACCCGAGCAGAAATCTTCGGGTGCGACTTGAGAATAGGCTCTGAAGGGTTGAAATCTCAAGCCTGATGATTTCTCTTTTGGTGTCCACCGACAGCATCGACCCACGAGCCAGCCAGTCTTTTCTTCCTGGTCAAAGAGGATCGATCTTGTCGTCTCCTAGTGTCGTCGTCAGTCAATGTCGTCGGCGCCGTCGTCCCTTTCGCCGCTGTCATCACTATACAGACTTGCTTTTTGTTGCTCCTTCCGCAGGATTCTCCCATGGATGCAGGGCGCGGGCGGCTGATCCCCAGGTACCCACTGGAGAACATGCGGCCCAGCCGCCGTCTAGAGCGCAGTGTGAAGCTGTTCGGCTTCAGACTCCAGGTTCTTGCTCCAGGCGGTACGGTAGCCCTAAACCTGGAACCAACACCATGGTTTTGCTTCTTGATCGTGTAGCGAGAGAGGGAGGGCAGAGGGAGATGGAGACGGTGGATTTCCGGAGAGAGTCGCCTCCGAGGATGGTCCCGCTGGCAGAGTGGATGGGTATGGAGCCAGCCCAGCGCTCGCAGGCTGTAGGACTGGTGCTCGAGCAGATGTCGGAGTTCAGATGCCGGATGCGGGTTATGAAGTTTGGCACGGCGGACGTATTGCTTGGAGAACACTTCACCAGGCCCTTTCTTTCAGGAGCTTTTCTGTAGTCTTCGCATGCAGGTCTTCCCGAACCTGGCCAACTTCAATTCCACACACCTCCTTGAGAAGCAGACGCTGTTTCGGCCTTGAGTAAGCTGCATGTTTACGGTGCCCCGACCTCATCTCCGATTGGACCTTCCACACTCTGCACTCACGTACAGGGACGACGCATCTCGTTTATTCAGGTCAGGGGGCCAGAGTACTATCTTGCCGATCGTGCGCCTTCCCCCAGTTCACTCCAGAACGCAAGGGTTGAGCTTGGCGATCCCTTTTCGGTTTGAGGGGGCTTGAATTGAAGCCACTTGGCAACCGGAGCCGCCAGTGCAGATTTAACTTGTTCATCTATCCTCAAGTCTGAACTCAAGAGCTTCCCACTGCAACCTCATCTCGTAGCTATGGTATCCAAGGTGTCGGCTTACAGGGCTGGCGTAAGGGGCAACTTTGGTCAGACAAAGGGGGAGTCTAGATTTTTGTCCGGTTCGAGACCAAGCCTCTGACCTCGAACCAGCCGTCAGAAACTCCAGAAAGAATGCACAAAGGGCTTCACGTCTGGCTCCAGTTTCCGAGCCCCGCATACGCACTTGTGTTGATTCGTGCCTAGGGTTCTGGGACAACCGCCGTGGTTGCCCATCTTTCTTTCTTCTGAATATGCCTCATTCCCGAAGCATGGCAGTCTTGTCCCAGAATAATTCATTGATCAGTCTAGGTTGGTGCCGCTTGCGGCTTCTGGCAAGTTGTGTGCAGGCTGCAGTTGCTTGTCACAGGAGGATGGGCAATGTGCAATCTCCGGTGCTTGACGGGTTGCAGATGTAGACTGAAGCATAAATAAGCTGCAGACGTTTTAAGCCTTGAGCCCCAATCCGATCGACACCAAGTTGTGTAATTACTCATTCCAGACGTTCCTGTGGCAGCGAACCTGACCAGGGTTCTGAGGCTGCTAAAAGAAACTAACTTGAAGGCCTTTAGCTCGGAGCCGACAGCCTAGTCCAGCTTCCTACCTGCCCATTCCTCGTGTGGCCAGCGGCAGCGCCTCTCAGTGGCTGCTTCTCCACCAGCTCGCCCCCTGTAAAGTCTTGCTCCGACTGGTCAGAGCGAGGTTCCGGTTTCACAGTCTAACCCGAGCATGCGGAACTGCTGTGCAATTTGGAGTTGCTGCATCTGAAGTCCTAGCAACATGACAGCAGGTAGTGGAACATGTCGGAAAACCCATGTCCTGAGTGAGTCGGGTTCTACCGAAAATATCTTAAGATGTGACTGGTCGCTCTCGGAGCATGAAACGGGCTCGTGCAGAAGCGTCCCCCTTGCCGTGCAATGCCGGGACATTCTCCAGGAGGAGGCGTACATCGCCTGCTCTCGGCCGAATTCACCAAAAGACAAATTCCGGGCCATTCTACAGCTTTGAGGCCCTGGGTCTCCACACGACCTCTCTCTTCGCGAAAAGTCGCATCTGCTGTCTAGCTTGTGGATTCCCCTTCCGCTCGCGACTCGCTGCTCTCTCGTTTTCAACAGGCGTGCTGTCCAGTCGAGCTTCTAGACGCTCACCCGAAGTGCTCAGAAACTCGAGGGACTGGAGCCTGGAGGCGTAGCCAGCAGCGTGAAAAACACACTTGGGAGGCAGAGCATCAGACTGGCGAGTCATATACCACTGCTGGCAAAGCATTAGCCGTGGTTCGATTGGTTCGCAGATGCCCGCTTGTCAGACACCGGAACAGGCTAAGCAGCAGCTGATCTGTGCTGGCAGACGGTGGCAAGGCTTCTCGGGTCAAGGGCAGCACAATCGCTAGGCTTCTTCCGGCAACATGCTAGGCGAAGCACGCATGAGACTGCAGAGCATTTCTCGTGCATAGCCTAGTTGTGGGGGGCCTGATGATTGCATCTGGAAGGCATCGCCTTCGGAGATATAGCCATAGCAGCACGACGCTCGTAACTTTATTGCATTGTGGAAGGTATCGCTTTCGCGGATAGCTTGCCTCTGCGTGAGGCGGCTGGTGCCAAGGCGGGCAAATCTCAGTTATTTTACGAGAGGGTGCCTGAGTTTGGGGAACTTGTGCATGGCTTTCCGATTCGTTCGGTTACAAGACAAAGCTTCGATTGAGTGGCAGCAGTAATAGTCGTCGGTATGTAAAGCAATAAATACGATAGGCCAGGGGCTTTTATGAGGATTATTCTTTTGCTTTAAGTATTCGGACTATTAGTGCTGCTGTCATTCTTACCATAATTTTTATTTGTTATTATTTCGTAATGGCAGTAGCGGAAGCGGCAGCAGGTAGCGGTAGCAGTAGCGGTGCGGGGTCAGTAGCGTTGGCGGCAGCGGTGGCAGCCGTAGCAGTCGTCGTAGTCATCGTCGCAATCGGGTCGTCGTAGTCATCGTCGTAATCGGAGTCGTCGTAATCGTCGCAATCGTCGTAGTCCGCGTAGAAGAAGTAGTAGTAGTCGTCGTAGAAGTAGTAGTCGTCGTCGTAGTAGTAGTAGTAGTAGTCGTAGTCGTAGTAGTCGTAGTAGTCGTAGTAGTCGTAGTAGTCGTAGTAGTAGTAGTAGTAGTAGTAGTAGTAGTAGTAGCAGTAGCAGTAGCAGTAGCAGTAGCAGTAGCGTAGTAGTAGTGGTAGTGGTAGTGGTAGTGGTAGTGGTAGTGGTATCATTGACCCTTTGCACCGAACCAGAACCACAAGGTTTAGATCCACAGGGCTTTTTCGACAGAGTTGGCTTCTAAAGACGTTTACAGACTTTTAAAAACTTTCAAATGCAAGAAAAAACATTCTAAAAACTTTTAGAAGACTTTAAAAGACTTTTAGAAACTTTTAGAAGACTTTTGCAAACTTTAAAAGACTTTTCAAAACTTTAAAAGGCTTTTAAAATATTTAAAAGACTTTTAAAAACATTAAAATACATTTAAAAGCTTTAAAAAGACTTTAAAAGACTTTTAAACGCTTTTAAAAGCTTTTACAAACTTTAAAAAGAATTTGAAAGACTTTTAAAGACTTTAAACAACTTTTAAAATTTTTTAAAAACTTTAAAACACACAAAAAAAAACTACATTTTTTAATGTTTTTTCCGAGAAGACGAGGATGAAGAAGACCTGGCACAGGGTTTACAGTTTCAGGGTCTTTAGGGTTTGGGGTTAGAAGGCAGAGTGCCATAGTATTAGGGGTTTGAGGGTAATGAAAGGGTTAGGGTTAGAGTTTCAGGGTCTTTATTATATTTAGGGTTTGGGGTTAGAAGGCAGAGTGCCATAGTATTAGGGGTTTGAGGGTAATGAAAGGGTTAGGGTTAGAGTTTCAGGGTCTTTATTATATTTAGGGTTTGGGGTTAGAAGGCAGAGTGCCATAGTATTAGGGGTTTGAGGGTAATGAAAGGGTTAGGGTTAGAGTTTCAGGGTCTTTATTATATTTAGGGTTTGGGGTTAGAAGGCAGAGTGCCATAGTATTAGGGGTTTGAGGGTAATGAAAGGGTTAGGGTTAGAGTTTCAGGGTCTTTAGTATATTTAGGGTTTGGGGTTAGAAGGCAGAGTGCCATAGTATTAGGGGTTTGAGGGTAATGAAAGGGTTAGGGTTAGAGTTTCAGGGTCTTTAGTATATTTAGGGTTTGGGGTTAGAAGGCAGAGTGCCATAGTATTAGGGGTTTGAGGGTAATGAAAGGGTTAGGGTTAGAGTTTCAGGGTCTTTAGTATATTTAGGGTTTGGGGTTAGAAGGCAGAGTGCCATAGTATTAGGGTTTGAGGGTAATGAAAGGGTTAGGGTTAGAGTTTCAGGGTCTTTAGTATTTAGGGTTTGGGGTTAGCAGGCAGAGTGCCATAGTGTTAGGGTTTGAGGGTAATGAAAGGGTTAGGGTTAGAGTTTCAGGGTCTTTAGTATATTTAGGGTTTGGGGTTAGAAGGCAGAGTGCCATAGTATTAGGGGTTTGAGGGTAATGAAAGGGTTAGGGTTAGAGTTTCAGGGTCTTTAGTATATTTAGGGTTTGGGGTTAGAAGGCAGAGTGCCATAGTATTAGGGGTTTGAGGGTAATGAAAGGGTTAGGGTTAGAGTTTCAGGGTCTTTAGTATTTAGGGTTTGGGGCTAGAAGGCAGAGTGCCATAGTTTTAGGGTTTGAGGGTAATGAAAGGGTTAGGGTTAGAGTTTCAGGGTCTTTAGTATTTAGGGTTTGGGGCTAGAAGGCAGAGTGCCATAGTTTTAGGTTTTGATAGTATTAGGGATGCACAAATCGCGTGAAGTGGCTACGAACTGCTGGATGTTGCGCTTTTCTGCGTTGACCACACTGTCAAGCGAATCACGTGCAGGCGAAGCAGGGTACAGCTGGGTGACGCGACAACGTCTGGCACTCTGCCTTCCCAGCTGCTGGCACTCTGCCTTCCCGCCTCAAGATCCATTAATTATTGCCATTTGGAATTCATCCCCACCTTTGCACGAAGCTGGTCGGTCAAAGGTATTGCTCCAGCATCAAGGTCAGGAAGTTCCCCCCGACCACCGAGACGGATGGCAACAAGTGAGAGGTGTTTCATCTGAAGGACAAACTGCCGGTGTTGTTCATCTTCGTCGTTCCAAACATAAACAAAATCACAAACGAGAGAAACGCGCGGCAACTCCAGCGGTTCTTCTCCTTCACCCACCTGATAACACTTCGGGAAGGGGCCTTCGTACCGTCGAAGAAGCCTGAGGCCTCCTGTAATGCGGGAGCCAACACGTGGCCAGTAACGCAGGTAGCGAACCATGATTTCCCAAGGCACGTCGTCATAAACTTCCTTCCATCTCTCAGCTGGTTTCCACTGGTCAGGCGCTTTGGCCAATTTTTCGCAAGCGGTTTTGATCAAGATTGGGGAGAGCTCGCCTCTGAAGAAACACTCTCCTCGTTCGATCGGGGCGAAATGCATTGCTCTGGACGGCTACTGTTCAGTCACAAGTACGCACGGCTTCAAACCACATGTGCTAGTTTGTGCGGCTTCCGGGTTGTGGCACTCGAAATGATTGTCCATGTGCTTGCACGTGACAAATTCCACATGTGCGAAAATGCGAACATGCTTTCGCAATCCGTCTTCCCCAAGCAGAAACACACAGTCTCTCGGACGCATTCCAATCTAGCAGGACCCGCTGCCATCA